GGCAGCTCTTCATGCCTCCGTTCCCCCCAAAATGGCTAGATCGCAGGAGCCATGGAGCTGGTTCTTGAAGAAGGGCTGTTCAGTTTTCTTCCTTGTCTCCTGGGTGGGGAGTGGGAGAGAGAATTATTAACAAGTTAAAGGGTGAGGCGGGGCTAACAGGCCCAGAAAGATGCCTCACCTTAAACAAAATTCTAAAAAGCAAAAATTAAAAAAAAAAAAAGAGAGAAGAGTCAGAGACAGAGATAGAGAGAGACAAAGACAGATAGAGAGAGGAAGCCTGAGAGGTGTCTTCCTACCACGCGAGTTTTCTATACTAAAGGTTGAATTATCAGTGGGACCTCTTCATTCCTCCTTTTCCCCGAAAATGGCTAGATTGCAGGAGCCATGGAGCTGGTTCTTGAAGAAGGGCTGTTCTGTTTTCTTCCGTCTCTCCTGGGTGGGGAGTGTGAGAAGGAATTATTAACAAGATAAAGGGCTAGGCAGGGCCAACAGGCCCAGAAAGATGCCTCACCTTAAACAAAATTTCGAAAAGCAAAAATTAAAAAAAAAAAAGAGAGAGAGGAGTCAGAGACAGAGACAGAGAGAGACAAAGACAGATACAGGGAGAGGAGGCCTGAGAGGAGTCTTCCTACCATGTGAGTTTTCTATATTGGAGGCTAAATGATCGGTGGGACCTCTTCATTCCTCTGTTTCCTCCCAAAATGGCTAGATCGCAGGAGCCAGGGAGCTGGTTCTTGAAGAAGGGCTGTTCTGTTTTCTTCTGTCTCTCCTGGGTGGGGAGTGGGAGAGGGAATTATTAACAAGATAAAATGCTAGGCAGGGCCAAGAGGCCCAGAAAGATGCCTCACCTTAAACAAAATTCTATAAAGCAAAACTTAAAAAAATAAATAAATGAGAGGGAGATGGAGAGTCAAGACTGTGCTGAGCCTATGTCTCCCTGGGAGGCGTCGCTGAATGGGGCCCGGCCCGCTGACTGCCAGGACTTCCTGAAACACAGTCGCGAATTCTTGGACTTCTTCTGGGACATTGCGAAGCCGCAGCAGGAGACACGGCTTGAGGCCACGGAGAAGTTGCTGGAGTATCTGCGCACAAGGCCAGAGGCATGGTGGCGGGATCTGGGGGAGCCGGCCTCGAGATTTGGGACGGGGGGTGGCGCGTGGTCGCGAATTAGGATGCGAAATGGGTGAGGGTGGGCGGATTCTTGTCAGTGTTCAACACGAAGGATGCGCTTGGTCCCCCAGGGCTCCGAGATGAAATATGCCCTGAAGCGTCTAATCACTGGACTCGGGGTTGGGCGAGAAACCGCTCGGCCCTGCTACAGTCTGGCCCTGGCTCAGGTGAGGAGGCGTCCTGGGAGGGGGCCACCCACGCTGTCAAAAAGGGGAGATGTGAGGAGAGCATAGGTCTCAGCTGCGGGGGAGGGAGTGGCCTGCGAAGAAGCCAGAGGGTGGTCTGTGAGAACAACGTGTATGAGCAAGACCTGTCCACAGACGTGCAGGCAGATGGAGTGGGAAGTTGAGCACATTTTTCTTTTGGTGCATGGATTGACCAAACTCCTGGATACACTTATTGGAAGGAGTGAGGTTTGGAGTGGGCTCCCTCACCTCTACAAGGCTCAGAGACCCTCTCCTGGCAAGAGCACCCAGCTGATGACCAGCCACCCTCTGGGAAACTTGGGTAACCAAAAGAGCAGCAGACCCCGTTCTTTGGGATCAGCCTATAGGGAGCTCAGAGCAGGCTATGGGGTTAAGGCGGGGGCCCGAGAGTCTCAGTCCAGCAGTTGAGGGGCTATAGAAGGTACTCTCTGAAGCCCTGGTGAAAATGGGGCAGGGAGACGAGAGTCAGTTCCATTTGAACAGCAGTGTCTCATCGTCAGTGCTTCACAGAGGGCGTGAGCTGCTTCAGAAGCATCCTCGGAGTGGGAATAGGAACCCCAGGCTTCTTGGGAAAAGCTGAAGGAACAAGGGAGGTTCAGGTCTGTTGGGGTATAGCTGGACCACTCCCCTGAGCCCTCATCTTCCCCCTGCCACAACTCCTGGCAGCTCTTGCAGTCTTTTGAAGACATCCCCTTGAGCAGCATTCTGGAGCAGATAAAAGAAAAATACGACCTGCAGAAGGTGAAGAAGGTGAGCATTAGTGTCCCCAGGAAGGTCAGGAGCCTTGGGGGTGGGAGGGTGGGGGGTTTCTCTCACCTACACCAGACTCCTTTTCTAGGCAATGATGAGACCCGCTCTCTTTGCAAACCTGTTCGGGGTACTAGCCCTCTTTCAGTCAGGCCGGCTGGTAAAGGTAAGATCTTTGGAGGTCCAGGGGGTATGGAGACTGGCTTGGGAATGGTGGGGGGCCATGGCGTGCCCTGCGTTTAAACCCTCTGTTCCTCTGTGGGTACCAGGACCAGGAGACACTGATGAGGTCGGTGAAGCTGCTGCAGGTCCTGGCCCAGCACCACAATCACTTGCAGGAGCAGCCCCAGAAGGCCCTGGTGGACATCCTTTCCGAGGTACGGGCTTTCCAACCGTGGGTGATGGGCAGTACTCCTTGTTACAGGAACATGGAGAAGATGAGATGACGTAAAACAGCCCTTGAGCAACACTGCCCTGTATAATGTATATCCATATCATTGAGGCTTTCTTAGTAACTGCTTCCAAAAGGCAAACAGAAACAGATGTAGTTTAGCAACATTTTATCTAATCTGGGATGTCTAAAATATCATGGCAACAATCATTGTAAAAAAGAATGGCCGAGGAGTTCACACACTCTGTCACAGTAAGGCTCTGAAATAACCCAGCGTGTATCTTAACACTCACAGCCCACGGCCACCCAGATTAGGCACGATTGGGGCGCTCCGTAGCTCTGTGCGGCTGTGGCTGTTGTATTGGGCCGCACAGCTCCTCAGGACTGCCTGGCATGGGGCGGGTGCATTGAACACGTTTGCCATTGTTGTCTCGGTCAGGGCTGGTCCCTCATAGGCCTCCACTGTCCTACTCGGGAAACCGAAGTAGCCCTGGTACCCTAGGCCTCTTTGCCACTGAAGAAGTAGGCCCTGCTGGCTGCTGCAGGCTAAGTTTTCTGCATAGGCTTTAGCTCAGAGGTGAAAGGACCTGAATTTGAATCAGATCAGCTCTGCTTAGGGCTGATCTTCAACAAGGATTACTAAAAGGCCGCCCAAGGCCAGTTGGCATTGGGGAGAGGGTGCTCTCTGGACTGGTCTTGAGTGCAGCAGTGACGCTCTGCTCAAGAGAAGCCAGACCCCACATAGAGACCAGAGCTCAGATCCTGTCTCGTTGGCCTGAAGCATGGCAGGCATGAGTGCCCTGGGATCCGAGGGGCTGGAGGACTGGAAGAAGGGGTCACAGCACGAGCAGACCCTGTGGCGGGTGCCTTAACAGAGAAACTCCGCTGCCAAGGAGTATTTTAAGAAATGCCCTTTGATGGTTCTGGTGCCCTCACAAGTTGAGTTACAGCAGACCTGTACTGTGCCAGGGGCCTGGCACGTAGAACAGGGCCGTGGGGCTCACCCCCTGACTGTCTCCCCACCCCTAGATCCCGGAGGCCATGTTACAGGAGGTCCTGGCAAAGGTCCTCAAGGCCAACTTGAACGTGGTACTCAGCTCCCCTGAGCACCTAGAGCTCTTCCTCCTGGCCCAGCAAAAGGTGCCTACGAAACTTGAAAACCTCATGGGTCCAGTCGACCTATTCTCCAGCGAGAACATTCCCAGGTATGAGGGAGAAGGGTGGATAGGCTCTCCCCAGGGGTGTCCCTGTGCCCTTGGCACCCCAGCCCCTGTCTGTGGGGCAGGCGTTCCCTGAGACCGCTCACCGTCCTGCACAGGTTAGTGAACGTGCTGAAGGTGGCCGCCGCCGCCGTCAAGAAGGAGCACAAGCTGCCTGCTGTGGCTCGGGATCTGCTCCACCTGGCATTTAAGGAGGACAAGTTCCCACTCTTCTGGAAGGAGGTAGTGGAAGAAGGACTGCTGAAGAAACAGTTCTGGCCAGCCAGGTGTGTGCAGTGCTCTTCTTGTCTCCACTCCCCTGTCCCTGTTAAGTGTAGTGGGCCACCCAGAGGAACCAAGGCTCTGACCATGCTCTGTCCCGCCCCCTTCAGCTATCTGTGTTTCCGCCTGCTGGGCACAGCTCTGCCGTTGCTGTCCCTGGAGCAGCTGCAGCTGGTGATGCGAGGCAACCTGATCCGCCACTACGGGGAACACCTGGTCACTGCTAAGGTGGGCACCATCTGTCTGGCTTAACACTGCCAGAAAGGGCTAGGCAACAGGCTCTTCCCACCAAGAGAGAGAGCTGAGGGTCCCGGCCTACGAGGAGCTCAGGATCTGCGTGCCACTACCCTCTTAGTAAAGAGCTGCCTAAACCCCCTCCTCTCTGGCAGGTTTGGGCATGGTCAGACTCCCTCCAGCCCCAGTGGGTATTGCAGTAATTAAAACAGTCACCACCGATGTTTCGAATGCTCTCGTGCACCCCGTGCTAAGCCGAGCATTGAACAGGAGTTAAGTGCATGGGATTCAAGCTCCAGACTACAGGGTTCCAGCCCTGCCTCCCCTGCTCACAGTCTGTGTGACCTGGTACCCATGGCCTCATTTCCCTTTGCCTGCCTGCCTGCCTGCCTTTTAAAAAAAAAACGAGGGGACAGTACATCCCCCGCAGGGCTGTGGAGATGACTGGGGTCACGTATATGGGGCACTGAGGAGTAGCTGATGCACAGTACGAGCTCCTAGGCCCTCGCCCGCCCATGTCCGCACTGCAGCTAGCTTCCCGGGGCTGTCCCTGTTTCTGGGTCGGGGGACAGTTCAGAACGCACAAGGCAGTGGGTAAGAGCTCAGGCTGTGAAGTGGGACTGGCTGGGTCCAAATCTCATCCGCACCACTCGGAGTCCTGGGGCCCTGAGAAGTTACTACCGAGCTTTTAGTCCGTCACTGCTTCATCTGTGAAACCGCGGTAGTGACCGGTGCAGGGTGCTGACCGTGTAGCGGTGTTTGGCATGTGCTGAGCAGGTGAGGGTGTAGTTTTTGAGCCGAAAATCATAAAGCTAGATTTGAACACTGGTCCGTCTGGACTCATAACCTCCTCTCCATGATGCTTCGAGCCTAGAAAAGAGCCCAGATCCAGGGTGGGCAGCCTGTCTCAGTCCTTTCGGTGAGAGTTAGAAGTGGGGTGCATCCTGGTGCCGAGGTGTAGAACCCAGAGAGGGCAGGTGAGGGTAGCCTTGACCCCAGACAAAAGTGTTGGGGTAGCAGGAAGCTGTTGGAAATCTAGGCTCAGCCTGGCTGTATTGGAGTCGGAGGGGGGCTTCTGAGCCTCAGTTTACACTGTAGAGGACGAGACTGGTGGGGCTACTATACCCCTGGGCTGGTAACCCCAGCCCTGTGCCTGACCCTCACAGGTCCCAAACCAGTTCAAGTTTGCCCCCGAGATGCACGAGTACGTGGACACCTTCCTTGAGGGCTGCCGGGAAGACCCTGAGCGGCAATTAGCCCTGCTGGTGGCCTTCTCTTCTGTCACCAACCAAGGCCTCCCTGTCATGCCTACCTTCTGGCGGGTCGTGAGGTTCCTGAGTCCCCGTGCCCAGCAGGACTACGTGGCCTGGCTACAGGACATGTTTCTCCGGCCCGACCTGGACTCCTTGGTTGACTTCAGTACCCCCAACCAGAAGAAAACCCAGGATGCGTCCTTGCACGTGTGAGTGGACCTGCAGGAAGGACCTGGGGTTCAGGAGCTGGCTTCTGGACCTACTGAGCCCAGAGACCTGACAGTGCGTGGGCTCCAAGCCATAGGCGCATGAGGGAGGACTGCAGCTCTCAGATGAGGGCTTGGTTTCCTGCCTCCAAGGGGAGGCAGAGGAATGCCCTCTCTCGGGCTTTTCTAAATGGCTTCCCCGGGCCCTGCCCCCAGGCCTGAGCGGGCTGTGTTCCGGCTGCGCAAATGGATCATCCTCCGGCTGGTCAGCATTGTGGACACCTTGCAGCTGGAGACGGAAGAGTCCTTGGTGGAACAGGTGGCCAGGTGTGAGATGTGCTAAAGCCCCAGGTCCCCATGGGTGGCATGTCCAAGGAATTGGGCCCTTGCCTGGACCTAATTGGGGGCTCCCGGCTTCTGGCTCAGAAGCCTTTGGGTTGGATCAGCGGTGGGGAGCAGGCACAAGGTGACCTGGGAACTGCTCGGAGGTCCATGAGGAGAAGGGTCCCAGGGAGTGCGAGGCTGCAGGGCCTTTAACAGTTCAGACTTGCGTGTGAGTCCTGCCTGCAACCTTTGCACGTCAATAGAGGCAAGCCTTTTGTCTGACACCAACATTGTCTGTGCCAGACACGGAGCCAGGTACTGTTTGCGGAAGCAATGGTGACCTGGCCATGGTCACACAGCGTAGCATCCGTCTAGGCTCCATGGAGGGGCTCTGCTTCCCCAAGTCAGTCACACTGCTCAGCCGCAGGCCAGAGAAGTGGCCCTTTCTTGGCATTGGCTGGCTGCTCCCAGCCTTGTCCCGTTAGGCCCTGAGCAGAGGCTGTCCCTCTCCCCCTTCCTCTTGACCTCGCCCTTGATGGTGCCGTCCAAGGAGGGGGCCTGTGAGACGAGTGGCACTAACCACGGCAGTGCTGCCTGCTCTCCCACCCTCCCAGGTTTTGTCTGTTCCACTCGTTCTTTGAGACAAAGAAGCCCACAGTCCAGATCCCAGAGACCAAGCAGCAGTTGTCCTTCCCTCTGGAGAGCCGGACCCGAGAGGTTGTCAGCAGCGCCTTCTTTAGGTGAGCCTTGGGCAGCCTGGGAGAGGTGTGAGGCAAGCAGGCAGCCCGAGGACACTTGCCCCCCCTGGTTCTAAGCTGGGTACAATGACAGAGGTCCACTGAGTTCCAGGGGAGGCAGGGGACCAAGCCCCAGGGTGGGTGAGGGAAGCATCCACGTTCACTAGTTTGATGCTCTGACGCCATTCTGCACCCTCACCCAGTCTGCTGCAGACCCTCAGCACACAGCCCTGGCTGACCCAGGCCCGTACCCAGGGTAAGCAGCCCTGGGCTTCCCGCCTGGTGCAGTTGGCAGACCAGCTGTTGAACCACAGCCGCAACGTGGCCACCGTGGCCCCCTTCACTACAAAGCAGCGCCAGGCCTGGGACCGGTGAGGGGACAGAACTTCCGGGGGAGGTAGGGAGGGTTAGCCGGGCTCTGGCTGGCAGCAGCGGCCTAAAAACACGCCTGTCTCTCCCCAGGATGCTGCAGACTCTGAAGGAGCTGGAGGCCCACTCCTCTGAGGCCAAGGCCACTGCCTTCCAGCACCTGCTGCTCCTGGTGGGCATCCACCTCTTCAGGGTACGTACAGTGGCCTAAGAGGAGGGAGGGTCTTAGAACCCGGGCTCTGGGGCACAGCAGGCTCCCTATGGAGAGATCTGAGGGTGTCCGGATGGCCAGGAGAGGCTCTGGCTAGTGGAAGCTGGAAGGTTTTGAAAGCCAACCCAGTCCTAGGTGGGATTACAACCCCCCCCAAAAAAAGTGCATCATCCACTTACCAGGCACCTGCCAGCACCTCGCCTCTCTGTATAAGATCTTGTAATCCTACAGCTTTAGGCCGGCACTTCTCCCATGCTCGGCAGATGGGCAAAGACTCAGAGAGGCTGAGTAACTTGCCCTGAGCCACACGGCTGTTCATAGGACCGCCCAGATGTGCCTTACTGACCAAAGGTGAAGGTGCTGCCTTCCTGGGAGGGAGGTCCCGTTGTCCTCTTACGGCGGGGGTAGCCTGACTTACGGGGTGCCTCCTCTGCCATCTGGTAATCCGTTTGGTAGTGGGGTCCTGGCTTCTATGTTTAGGTCTCTCACCCAAGGCTGATAGTGATGGTCGAGGCTAGCGTCTCTGGGTCACATTTGACCTCACCCTTGACCCCATTCTTGAACTCATGCACCTCCTGGTACAGGGTCCTTCAGACCCGCCGCGTCTTCCTTTCCATCCTCCCACCGAGAAGCTCTGGCTGCACTTGGAGGGCCGGGTCAGCAGTGCTTTTGTCTCTCGTGGTTTCTCCTTCACCCTGAACCCCGCTCTCCTCAGAAATGTTTCACTGGGCTCTTGTCAGGGCTGCTCCTGGTCTTAAGTAGCCTGAGCAAGTGGACCTCTCCCGGCTGTGAGGCTATGCCATTTGCTTCCTGGCCTCCAAGTGGTGTAGAGGCTAGCCACCGTGCCTGTATGATCCTTGCCGCGGGGCCTTCGATAGCAGCAGGCCTTGACACTTGCTGAGCAGCCCAGGCCCAGGACCTCTGAGCTTGGCGTAGGTGGGCGATGTTGCTGTTTGGGCTGTGTCAAACCCTTGAATGAAGGTACAGCTCAGAAGAGGGCAGGGCCCGGCTGGCCACACAGTCAGGGATGGGGAGACCAGTGGTCAAAGCTTTGGGGTCCTATTCTGGCCTTTTCTACCACCATGGCCTGGACATTGAAGCTGCCCACTGCATTAGAAGGGGGAAGTCAGCCTTTTCAGTACCACAGGCCCCGAGGTGTGTTCAAGACCCCTCCCCTACCCCCAACTCACTGTCTGGTGGCAGGAGTCTGGGCTTTACCCCAGCAAGGTAGATTTAAATTTAATTAAATTAATTAAACCTTTAAAATTTAAAATGATTTTTCAGTCTAAAATAGTTATTTTTCTTTTTTGAGACAGATTTTTTTTTTTAATAATTACTTGGTCATTAATTTATTTTAATTTGACCAGAGAGATACACAGAGAAAGAGAGGAAAAGAGAGAAAGCAAGCCACCAGGTTCGGTATTTGAACTGCAGTTGGGCATGTGTGTGGCCAGCACCTTAACCACCACGCCACCTGCTGGTCCCCAAGAGAGAGATTTTTGCTGTAGGGTACATGCACTCATCAGAGAGACCAAGAGACAGAATGAGAAATCACCCTCCAGGAGTGATGGCTGTGCCACAATCCTTTCTTTTCCATTCTCCTCTCAGGATCTTGGGCGTGCGCACACACACACCCGGCATGTTTTAAGCCACTGACTCTGGCACTCAAACTGCAGTCAAATACAATTTTTTCCTAACTAGACAGGGACAGAGCGAGAGAAAGAGAAGGAAAGTGAGAAAGCAAGCTGCCCAGTCTGGGACTTGAACTGTGGTCAGCCATGTGGGAATCCAGCACCCTTAACCGCCATGCTACGTGCCAGCCCCCCTTCAGTCCTATTTCTAATGTCAAACCAGGTGTGGAGGCGTGATCCAGAACTGCAAATTGGACAGGACCGGCAGGCTTTGTGCCCACACCATCCCGTCAGGCTCTGCTTCCTGGCAGTTGGGCTCTGTGCTCCCTCGGGGTGCTCAGTCCCCCGCAGTGTGTCAGATGTAAATGGGTCATCAGCTCTTGGCTGCCCTGGGGTCCGGCTGGGGTCTTGCATTCAGGACTGTGAGGGTGACTGCCAGGGCAGGCTGGTGGCCATGGTGTCCAGCCTTTGCTGCCATCCTCCCTGCTTGGCCAGTCCTCTGCCTGGCTCAGCAGGGACTGGGAGCAGGGTTTGCCCCTGATTTCTCTCCCTTCCTGTCCACAGTCTCCCGCAGAGAGCTGTGACTTGCTCGGTGACATCCAGACCTGCATCAAGAAGAGCCTGGCAGAGAAGACCCGCCGGACCCGCTCCAAGGCCACCAGTAGGTCATTGGTCCCGGGTCGGGTGGCCAGTCAGCTAGCAGGACCCTGCCCAGGCTCAGCCCTGTCCCTGCTTGCAGGTTCCCAGGAGCCGCCGTGGGTGGAGGTGCTGGTCGAGATCCTGCTGGCCCTCCTGGCCCAGCCCAGTAACCTGATGCGCCAGGTGGCACGGAGTGTGTTTGGCCACATCTGCTCCCACCTGACACCGCGGGCCCTGCAGCTAATCCTGGATGTGAGTTGGGCCTTTGGGGAAGTGACCCCGGGGAAGGGGCTAGTGAGCACAGCCGTTCTGAGAGTGCCCGCCTGCCCTGAGACCATCCTGCAGAGGTGGGCGAGGAGCCCCAGCCTAGGCTCCTCTGCTCTACAGCCTGCTCCAGGGCATCCCTGGGCTCTGCCAGGAAGGCACTGGGGGCTGCGCCTTCTCTCCTGGGCTCCATTTTTCTCCCTGTCACGGCCTTTGGCTGACCTTGGCTTAGGTCTGGTCTAAGAAGGTGACCAGGAGGGCCTGGTAACCTGAGAAGGGTTGGGGTCCAGGGCAGCAGATGGGGCAGCGGCCTGGGACTCCTCTCCAGGTGCTGAACCCCGAGGCAAGCGAGGACGAGGACGACAATGTGGTGGTCACTGACGATGCTGATGAGCAGCAGCTAAAGGACACAGAGGTATTTCGCAGCAAGGGACAGCCATGGGCAGACACGTGTGGGCAGTGGGGAGACTAACACGCCTGCCCCGGACAGGACAAGAGCTCAGATAGTGAAGAAGACAAAAACTCAGAGAGCGAGGAGGAAGAGGAGAGCGAGGAGGAGGATCGCGACAAGGATGTGGACCAGGGCTTCCGGGAGCAGCTGATGGCCGTGCTGCAGGCTGGGAAGGCGCTGGTGAGCGGGAACCGGCAAGGGCTGGGTTGTGAGTGTGTGTCCGTCCCCACCTGAGGCCTGGCTGACCTCCGGACCTTGGTCCTGCAGGGTGGAACGGACAGCGAGGATGATGAGGAGGAACTGGGGGACGAGGCCATGATGGCCCTGGACCAGAACCTCGCCAGCCTCTTCGCCGAGCAGAAGCTGCGCATTCAGGCCCGGAGGGACGAGAAGAACAAGCTGCAGAAGGAGAAGGCACTCCGGCGGGACTTCCAAATCCGGGTGAGCCTGAGGGCCGGGCTCCGCCGCTCCCTGCCCTCCTGCGCATGCTCCACACTGCTGACGCCCCCTCCCCGGCCACAGGTGTTGGACCTGATCGAGGTGCTGGTGACCAAGCAGCCCGAGAACGCGCTGGTCCTGGAGCTGCTGGAACCGCTGCTGAGCGTCATCCAGCGCAGCATGCGCAGCAGCAGCAGCAAGCAGGAGCAGGACCTGCTGCACAAGACGGCCCGCATCTTCACGTGAGCCAGGCCGGGTCGTCCCCACCCTCAGGGTCGCAGTAACAGCATCCCGACTGTCACAGGCAGTGGGGATCCTGAGTGAGCAAGGCGGCAGGGAGACAGGTGGGGGCACCTCGCCCAGTCCTGGAGAAACGGCAGCAAGACTGGGAGCTGTGGGATGGACAGGAGCTCAGCGGACCAGGCCTCAGGCAAGGCAGGAGGGGAGGAAGGGTATCTATGGGAGCCAGTCGGCCACAACCGAAGCATAAGGCAAGCCACAGGGCGGGAGAAGCCATGCAGACCCTGACTCTGGCAGTTCCAGGGCTCCGCAGAGGCTTTTCAGCAAGAGCATGGGAAAGGACAGGATCTGGGCCTGGTCTGCCTTTTAAGGAACAAGCAGCAGAGGACCACACTAGGGCCAGGAGCCCAGCAGGTGCTGGTGACCAAGCAACCCGAGAGGCGACTGCAGGTGCCAGCTACAGACCTGCCCTCCAGAGCTCCGAGACGACAGGGAAGGCAAAGGTCTAGGGACCAGAACGCCACGTCTGCAGCAGCGAGGGGCCGGAGAGGGCGTGGTGGCCAGCAAGTCCCAGGCCAGCCCCAGGTCACACTAGCTCAGGTAGCCTTCGGCACCTGCTTGGACAAGGTCCAGGGCCCTGCCTCTTGTCCCCACTCTATCTCCCCACTGCAGGTAGCATAGGGTTCTGAGAACACAGACCCTCGTCTGATATTGCAAGAGGCTTGCTGACCACTGTCCCAGGAGAGATGGGTGCAGACAAGCAATGGACGAGCTCGGGGTGTTTGTCCCGGTTAGCCTCAGCCCAGGGAGCTGTTATCCTCTCTGGCCTGCCTTCTGCCACCTTGGTCAAGATCCCCACTGTGAAATGGGACCCAAGGTCCCACCTTTTGGCTCATAGAAGGATGGAGAGCATGTTTTGACCAGCTCTGCCCCATCATCTGTAGGCACCAACTGTGCCGCGCCCGGCGCTACTGCCAGGACGTGGGTGACTACGTGGAGACGCTACACGCCCAGGTGCAGCGGCTGGTGCAGCAAGCTGGCCGGCAGGCCGAGTCCGCGGTCGCCCTCTACTACTTCAACGCCTCTCTCTACCTGCTGCGGGTCTTGAGGGGCAACACCGAGAAAGGTGCCCGGCAGAAGCAGAGAGAGAGCACCAACGCCAGCTCCCAGCCGAAGGGCGCACAGGTAAGGGCCTGGCCCTGGGGACTGCGAGAGAGGTGCTCAGCCGGCAAGCCAGGTGCTATCCTGGTATTTCACAGCCGGGCTTGCAGTGTGAGCCCCTTGCCTTCTGAGGGTAGCCCCATCTCTGCTCCCAGCTTCACTCTCACTCTCTCCCCTGGCTCAGGCCGCCAGTTGCTTGGACTTGAGCCTCGTGGCCCCTGTCTACTCAGCAGCCCTGAGCTCCTTCCTGACCAAGCGCAACAGCCCACTCTCCGTTCCCATGTTCCTTAGCCTCTTCTCCCGGCACCCGGTAAGTGTCAGACTGGCCCTGCCCCTCCAGGCCCCTGCCAACCAAGCGCTTGCTTCACAGTTCCTGTCCTTCCCCCCCAGGTGCTCTGTAAGAGCCTGCTGCCCGTCCTGGTCCAGCACATGGCAGGCCCAACACGGCCTCGGCAACAGGTGAGGGGCCCCCAGGTCCCAGCGGAGGGCCCTCGATCCCCCTCTTACTCCACTTTTGACAGGCTTGTGGGGCCTGAGCCCTCTGGCTCCCTGATGCGCAGGACGCCCCCGGTGGTGTCTGCTCAGGGTCTGGGGCTGTCAGGGGCAGGCTGGAGGACAGTGGCACCAAACTTGGAAGGGGGCCAGGAACTGTCCCAACCTGAGGGCCCACCTCTGTCCAGTGGGGTTCCTGCCTGCCCCAGGCCCCAGCAAGTCCCCCACAACAGAAAGGACAGGAGCAGGCAGTAGAGAGCCCAGAGCAGCAGGCGGCCCCTTTCACATAGCCTAGGGTCACCGTGAGCTGGTCAGGTTCCCGGTCTCTTCTCCTGGCACCCGGTGCTCTGTAAGAGCCTGCTGTCCGTCCTGGTCCAGCACATGGCAAGCCCAACACGGCCTCGGCAACAGGCCCAGGCTTGTCTGCTGCTACAGAAGACCCTGACCACGCGGGAGGTGAGAGCCTGCTTCGAGGACCCCGAGTGGGAGCGGCTGATCGGCCAGGTGCTGACGAAGGTCACTGAGGTAAGACCCTCTTACCAGCTTCCTCGGGACAGGCCTCCAGGGTGGGATTCGGGTTGTCTCGGAGACATGGGAGATGGGCCTTCCGCCCGCTCTGCCGAGCGCCTCAGCCTGACTGCCCCTCCCTAGAACCTGCGGACGCTGGGGGAGGCACAGAGCAAGTCGGAGCAGCAGAAGGAGCTGTTCTCCCTGGAGCTGCTCAACTCCCTCTTCAAGACAATTAATCACGAGGTGAGCCTGAGCCGCCTGGGCTCCAAGGGGAAGGGCACTGCGCTGGGCTTGCTTCACGGCAGGAGGGTGGGCACCAGGTAGGACCTGCAGAGCCAGGAGCTGTGTGGAGTCAGTTCTGCGTGCCAGGGTGAGGAGCTCTGCCATCCTGGGCGTGGTGTTGCCCAGCTCCGGGGAGGCCACTGCAAGCAGATGGAGGAGCTGGAGACCACTCGGGGTGGGCAGCATCAGTAGGAGGCCAGGGCAGGTGGGGAGTGCGATGCTCACAGCACGAGAGTCTCGGAGCCTGGCCTAGAGGGAGCAGGTCTGGGCGCCTAAGCTCATACAGGGAGTGGTCAGAGCCCAAGTCGAGAGCGAGCTTGGATTTTGACCAGGCTGGAGGGAGGAAGCAGGGCTGAGGACTGAGCCTTACAAAATGGCAGCCAAAGAGGGGGCATGCAGGATGGTGGAATCTCTTGGGTGCTGTGGAGGAAGCCAAGAGTGGGCTGGCTTGGTGGTGCAGCAGTAATGGTGCTGCTCAGATGATTTTTGAATCCACATGGAGGTCGTGGGTTCAGTTTCCACACTGGCCTGCATGTGCTGGGCCTGCACGCCATGGTCCTGGCTGGCGGGGGATCATAGCCCGAGACCCTGTTGAGGGTGCTTGTTTTTCTCCCTCGTGTCTCTGTATCTTGATCTCACGAAAGACACTTCCAAAGGGGGAAGAGTCCTGGGAGGTGGATAGGCCAAAGCTGCCACAGGAGAGGACTGTGGGCGGTGATGAAACCACCTTGGCTGCGGGGAAGGGAAGGAACACCTGGGACTTCTGGTTTCCTCCCCAGATGAGACCAGTGACAGGCAGGAGTGGCTAAGGGCTTAGGAGGCGGCCAGGGTCGCCAGAGTGGCAGCAACCGGCCAAGGTGGAGGGTGGGGACCGAGAGCGGGGGAGCAGCCACTGCAGCCCCAGCCTTCCCTCCCCTAAGCTGACCGTGGACCTGACCGCTCTCCTGGCCATGCTGCAGGGCGGCAGCAGAGCCTGCAGCAGGGGGAGTGCCCTGCCGGGACCAGCCGCCTCTGCGACCTCTACTGGCAGGCCATGAAGTACCTGGGAGTCCAGTAGGTTCCTGAGGGGCTGGAAGGAACCTCCAGGCGCTGCACATCTCTGATCCGCATGCTCGGATGTGGGAGTTTGGGGTGGCCTGGGTTGCAGAGGACCTCGGGGTAGTGGCTCCTGTTCTCACTGCATCCTCTAACCTTGCTTCCTTCCTCCCAGGCGTCCCAAGTTGGAGAAGAAGGATGCCAAGGAAGCCCCCAGTGCCACCGAGAGCCCCGTTAGCATGAAGCGGAAGAAAAAGGGATTTTTGCCAGAGACAAAGAAGCGGAAGAAACGCAAGTCAGAGGATGTTTCGCAAGAGGCAGATGCCAAGCCTGCAGCTCCTGGCGGGGAACAGCCCCCCAGCACAGGCAAGAAGAAGAGGAAGAAGAAGAAGAAGGCCAAGGTCCCGGCCCAGGCCCAGGCGAATGGGATGCCTGCCACCCAGAGTCCCGCCCCTGACACCCCCACCCTGAACCCCGACACCCCAGCCAAGACCCCTAAGCTGCAGAAGAAAGCCCAAAAGCTGTCCCAGGTGAATGGAGCCTCTCCCCTGTCCCCCTTGGAGCCTGCAGGCAAAAAGCAGCATCAGAAATCTCTTTCTAAAAAGGGCGTCTTGGGCAAGTCGCCACAGTCCGCCCTGCTGCGGAAAAAGGCAAGGCTGTCTTTGGTCAGCAGGAGCCCCAGCCTGCTCCTGAGCGGGGCCAGGAAAAGAAGGGCCACCTGAGGAAGGTGAGAACACCCTGAGGCAGGCCTGCCTCATCCCCTACCCCGTCAGCCCCAGAGACACCTATTTTTTTCACCATGATTTTAATAAACAAGCCAGTCTGAGGCACGAGCTTCCGCGCTGGGAGTAGGTCTGTCGCCGGCCTGCCAGGGGTCCTGCTGCAGCGGGCACAGCCTGAACTGTCTCCCCAGGGTCCCAGAGTGCGGGGGCCTGGTTCTGGGTCAGATCCTGCTGCTGCCCTGGCCTGTTTCTCACGTGCGACTTCTGTGGGGCTGCACCTTGTTCCCGGGGCTGTGTGCAGTGGCCACACTGGGCACAGTGTGACCGCCCCCGACCCCTGCCCAGGGATGTTTCACTGCAGGAACTACCAGGCCGTGATTTAAATAGGTTTATTTCTTCATTTACAAGAGGAATATATTTGGCTTCTCTCTTAAGACTCTGAGATTCACAATCAGCAGCTCTAAAAAATAAAGGAGCAGTTTTGCTTCCGGAAGGAAGAGGAGGCAACACTTGGACCTGGTTCTTGTACAACAAGAAAACATTGCTGGGGCCCCCAGCTGAGGCCGGGGTGACCATGGAGGCCAGGCTGGTCTTTGGGGTATCCCCACCCCTTGCCAGGCCCCCAGGCGCCCCAGAGCTCAGTGAGGTGGGCGCTCCGCCAGCTTGCACACGACTGATGTCACAGCCAGCCAGTGACTGAGGGGCTGGGAGTTGGTTCTTGGGGTCTCCTACCGGCCCCGAGGGCCCCCACACCAGAACACCTTGATTGTAACAGATGTGTGGGAATTGTGTGGAGTCAGGATAGGCTTCCCAGGGGGCCGGCAGCAACACCCCAGTGTGGCTGCAGGATAACGGGGACTGCAGACAGTGCGATCCAAGGCTGGGGTGGAGGCCCAGCCCCCAGGGGACAGCTGGGAGTCGCGGAGCTTTCCGATGTGCGTGTGCAGCAGCAGCAGCGTGTGGGTGTAGGTGGCTCAGGGGGTTGGCCTCTCCAGGTGGGCCTCAGCCTCCACCAAGCTCATGCCCCGGGCAGGAAGCTCTGTGGAGGGCTGCTTCCTCCAGCAGCCAGAGCTCTGGCTACTGCCCCATGGATTCTGGGAACAGTCCCCTGGGTCCTGTCCCTGGAAATGGTTCAGCCTGGCCTGGGGCAGGGAGGGGTTCTTGGCTTCAGGGTGGGGGGGCCACAAAGATGTAGGAGGCACACGGAGCCCCGCAGAGGTGGACTGGTGGTGGCTCTCAACAGTCTGAAGCCTGGAGCACAGGTGGGGGTGCAGCTGCTGCCAGGGCCTTCACCCCTGGCGATGCCAGCTCCCTGTCAGGATGGTCCCCACCTGGGGGACCTTCAGACTGAGCCAGCCTGAGCTCAGTAGGGACGAATGTCCTCCAGAGTGGCCAGCTGGACCAGGAAGTGCCCAGTGACTTGGGTACCTGGTGGTTAGCCAGGTGGAGTCCAGCATCCTCAGGTCAGAGGCCGGGGAGACTGGTCCCTGGCTCCTCAGGGGACCTCAGAACCTGGACCTCTGCCCTGAGGCCTGGGCCATCTCCGCTCTGTACAGTCCGGGGTCCGCTGGATCTTCAAAGCTGCAGACGGTGCCTTGTCCAGCCAGCCGTGTGGGAAAGTCCGGCCCCCTGGCCCCGAGGTCCAAGGAAGGCAGGGACTTGCCCAAGGTCACATAGGCCAGTGACAGGCCAGGCTCTCCCGATGCGCCCACTTGGGGCCATCTCCCTTGGCCCCAGGAGTCCCGCAGCCCAAATCCAGGGCTGGGAATCTGGCCAACTCCATGGTTCCAACACACACAGCCTTCCAGGCTAAGTGAGGACACGGCCTCTTCATGGAGCCAGGGCCACTTAGTCCCTGGCCAGGGATGGTGGGTGCCTAGCTGTGGGTCACACACACAGCTCTGGGACAGCCCTGTGGGTCCAGGACGCCGTAGGACACTTCCTAGACTAGGTAGGAGTGTGGGTTCTTCGTCATCCCAGTGGCACCTGAAGGAGGGGTGTCAGGTCAGAGGTGAGCTTTGGGAGCCATGCCAAGGTGTCCCCCTTTCTGTTGTCCTTGCTGTTTGGAGAAACAGGCCTGTTTTGGCCCCCAGGTTTTGTACTGCTGGGAACCCGCAGCTTCTAGCTGCCAGGCCCCGAGGAAGGTCAAGTAGGGATCAGGCCCTGGCACCCCTAAGAGGACTTGGGAGGGGAGATTACGGAGCGGGAGTTTCTGGCCAACCGCTGCCCTGACCTGTGACCCAGCCCTTCTAAGGAAGGAGCCTGCTCCCCCCTTCACCCATCAGGAAATTCCAGCACCTTCTCCAGAGGACACCAAGCCCAGGAGTGGGGCGGTGCTCAGGAGGAGAGCCCCCTGTCCCCTCACTGGCCTTGCCCTAGCATCAGACATCAGGAGCCCTCAGCCCCGCCAGCTTCACGCCCCCCTTCGCCCATCAGGAAATTCCAGCACCTTCAGAGGACACCAAGCCCAGGAGTGGGGCGGTGCTCAGGAGGAGAGCCCCCTGTCCCCTCACTGGCCTTGCCCTAGCATCAGACATCAGGAGCCCTCAGCCCCGCCAGCTTCACGGGGCCTCCCTGGCCTCACTCACCACCTCAGACTTTCAGGGATGCGGGCGGCATCACTAGCTGGTTCACCCTGGGGGAGAGACGGGCGGGGGTCAGGGTGGCGTGTCAGCGGGGGCCGGGCCCGGGCACTGCTCTGGCACATGGCGTCGCGGGGGCCGGCGGACCGGAGGTGCTGGGCAGGGGCCTCGTCCGCCCCCGGGGGAGGT